AGTGTTTCCTGACACTGGTGGTGTGTTTGTCAGGACCCAGGACAAGTGTTTCCTGACACTGGTGGTGTGTTTGTCAGGACCCAGGACAAGTGTTTCCTGACACTGGTGGTGTGTTTGTCAGGACCCAGGACAAGTGTTTCCTGACACTGGTGGTGTGTTTGTCAGGACCCAGGACAAGTGTTTCCTGACACTGGTGGTGTGTTTGTCAGGACCCAGGACAAGTGTTTCCTGACACTGGTGGTGTGTTTGTCAGGACCCAGGACAAGTGTTTCCTGACACTGGTGGTGTGTTTGTCAGGACCCAGGACAAGTGTTTCCTGACACTGGTGGTGTGTTTGTCAGGACCCAGGACAAGTGTTTCCTGACACTGGTGGTGTGTTTGTCAGGACCCAGGACAAGTGTTTCCTGACACTGGTGGTGTGTTTGTCAGGACCCAGGACAAGTGTTTCCTGACACTGGTGGTGTGTTTGTCAGGACCCAGGACAAGTGTTTCCTGACACTGGTGGTGTGTTTGTCAGGACCCAGGACAAGTGTTTCCTGACACTGGTGGTGTGTTTGTCAGGACCCAGGACAAGTGTTTCCTGACACTGGTGGTGTGTTTTGTCAGGACCCAGGACAAGTGTTTCCTGACACTGGTGGTGTGTTTGTCAGGACCCAGGACAAGTGTTTCCTGACACTGGTGGTGTGTTTGTCAGGACCCAGGACAAGTGTTTCCTGACACTGGTGGTGTGTTTGTCAGGACCCAGGACAAGTGTTTCCTGACACTGGTGGTGTGTTTGTCAGGACCCAGGACAAGTGTTTCCTGACACTGGTGGGGTGTGTTTGTCAGGACCCAGGACAAGTGTTTCCTGACACTGGTGGATGGTGTGTTTGTCAGGACCCAGGACAAGTGTTTCCTGACACTGGTGGAGGTGTGTTTGTCAGGACCCAGGACAAGTGTTTCCTGACACTGGTGGTGGTGTGTTTGTCAGGACCCAGGACAAGTGTTTCCTGACACTGGTGGTGTGTTTGTCAGGACCCAGGACAAGTGTTTCCTGACACGGTGTGTGTTGTCGGACCAGAATGTTCTGACATGTGGTGTTTGTCAGGACCCAGGACAAGTGTTTCCTGACACTGGTGGTGTGTTTGTCAGGACCCAGGACAAGTGTTTCCTGACACTGGTGGTGGTGGTGGAGTGTTTGTCAGGAACCAGGACAAGTGTTTCCTGACACTGGTGGTGTGTTTGTCAGGACCCAGGACAAGTGTTTCCTGACACTGGTGGTGTGTTTGTCAGGACCCAGGACAAGTGTTTCCTGACACTGGTGGTGTGTGTTTGTCAGGACCCAGGACAAGTGGTTTCCTGACACTGGTGGTGTGTTTGTCAGGACCCAGGACAAGTGTTTCCTGACACTGGTGGTGTGTTTTGTCAGGACCCAGGACAAGTGTTTCCTGACACTGGTGGTGTGTTTGTCAGGACCCAGGACAAGTGTTTCCTGACACTGGTGGTGTGTTTGTCAGGACCCAGGACAAGTGTTTCCTGACACTGGTGGTGTGTTTGTCAGGACCCAGGACAAGTGTTTCCTGACACTGGTGGTGTGTTTGTCAGGACCCAGGACAAGTGTTTCCTGACACTGGTGGTGTGTTTGTCAGGACCCAGGACAAGTGTTTCCTGACACTGGTGGTGTGTTTGTCAGGACCCAGGACAAGTGTTTCCTGACACTGGTGGTGGTGTGTTTGTCAGGACCAGGACAAGTGTTTCCTGACACTGGTGGTGTGTTTGTCAGGACCCAGGACAAGTGTTTCCTGACACTGGTGGTGTGTTTGTCAGGACCCAGGACAAGTGTTTCCTGACACTGGTGGTGGTGTGTTTGTCAGGACCCAGGACAAGTGTTTCCTGACACTGGTGGTGTGTTTGTCAGGACCCAGGACAAGTGTTTCCTGACACTGGTGGTGGTGTGTTTGTCAGGACCCAGGACAAGTGTTTCCTGACACTGGTGGTGTGTTTGTCAGGACCAGGACAAGTGTTTCCTGACACTGGTGGTGGTGTGTTTGTCAGGAACCAGGACAAGTGTTTCCTGACACTGGTGGTGGTGTTTTCGGTCAGGAACCAGGACAAGTGTTTCCTGACACTGGTGGTGGTGTGTTTGTCAGGACCAGGACAAGTGTTTCCTGACACTGGTGGTGTGTTTGTCAGGACCCAGGACAAGTGTTTCCTGACACTGGTGGTGTGTGTTTGTCAGGACCCAGGACAAGTGTTTCCTGACACTGGTGGTGTGTGTTTGTCAGGACCAGGACAAGTGTTTCCTGACACTGGTGGTGTGTTTTGTCAGGACCAGGACAAGTGTTTCCTGACACTGGTGGTGTGTTTGTCAGGACCCAGGACAAGTGTTTCCTGACACTGGTGGTGTGTGTTTGTCAGGACCCAGGACAAGTGTTTTCCTGACACTGGTGGTGGTGTGTTTGTCAGGACCCAGAACAAGTGTTTCCTGACACTGGTGGTGTGTTTGTCAGGACCCAGGACAAGTGTTTCCTGACACTGGTGGTGTGTTTGTCAGGACCCAGGACAAGTGTTTCCTGACACTGGTGGTGGTGTGTTTGTCAGGACCCAGAACAAGTGTTTCCTGACACTGGTGGTGGTGTGTTTGTCAGGAACCAGGACAAGTGTTTCCTGACACTGGTGGTGTGTTTGTCAGGACCAGGACAAGTGTTTCCTGACACTGGTGGTGGTGTTTTGTCAGGACCAGGACAAGTGTTTCCTGACACTGGTGGTGTGTTTTGTCAGGACCCAGGACAAGTGTTTCCTGACACTGGTGGTGTGTTTTGTCAGGACCCAGGACAAGTGTTTCCTGACACTGGTGGTGTGTTTGTCAGGACCCAGGACAAGTGTTTCCTGACACTGGTGGTGTGTTTGTCAGGACCCAGGACAAGTGTTTCCTGACACTGGTGGTGGTGTGTTTGTCAGGACCCAGGACAAGTGTTTCCTGACACTGGTGGTGGTGTGTTTGTCAGGAACCAGGACAAGTGTTTCCTGACACTGTGGTGGTGTGTTTGTCAGGAACCAGGACAAGTGTTTCCTGACACTGGTGGTGGTGTGTTTGTCAGGAACCAGGACAAGTGTTTCCTGACACTGGTGGTGGTGGTGGTGTGTGTTTGTCAGGAACCAGGACAAGTGTTTCCTGACACTGGTGGTGGTGTGTTTGTCAGGAACCAGGACAAGTGTTTCCTGACACTGGTGGTGGTGGTGTGTTTGTCAGGACCCAGGACAAGTGTTTCCTGACACTGGTGGTGGTGTGTGTTTGTCAGGACCCAGGACAAGTGTTTCCTGACACTGGTGGTGGTGTGTTTGTCAGGACCCAGGACAAGTGTTTCCTGACACTGGTGGTGGTGTTGTTTGTCAGGAACCAGGACAAGTGTTTCCTGACACTGGTGGTGGTGTGTTTGTCAGGAACCAGGACAAGTGTTTCCTGACACTGTTGGTGGTGGTGGTGGTGTGTTTGTCAGGAACCAGGACAAGTGTTTCCTGACACTGGTGGTGGTGGTGGAGTGTTTGTCAGGAACCAGGACAAGTGTTTCCTGACACTGGTGGTGGTGGTGGAGTGTTTGTCAGGAACCAGGACAAGTGTTTCCTGACACTGTGGTGGTGGTGTGGTTTTTGTCAGGAACCAGGACAAGTGTTTCCTGACACTGGTGGTGTGTGTTTGTCAGGAACCAGGACAAGTGTTTCCTGACACGTTGGTGGTGGTGTGTGTTTGTCAGGAACCAGGACAGTGTTTCCAACACTGGTGGTGGTGTGAGTTTGTCAGGAACCAGGACAAGTGTTTCCTGACACTGGTGGTGGTGTGTTTGTCAGGACCCAGGACAAGTGTTTCCTGACACTGGTGGTGGTGTATTTGTCAGGAACCAGGACAAGTGTTTCCTGACACTGGTGGTGGTGGTGGAGTGTTTGTCAGGAACCAGGACAAGTGTTTCCTGACATGGTATGGTGATGGAATGTGTTGTCAGAACCAGGACAATGTTCCTGACACTGTGGTAGTGTTTCGTCACGAACCAGAACAAGTGTTTCCTGACACAGGTAGTTAGTGACATTTGTCAGGAACCACAGTTCTCTGACACAATCTTCTCCTGAAAACATACAGGGGTTGAATCTGCAGATTTCAACACACAGAAAATAATACCAGTATTACATCCTAATAAATGAGTAAAATACTATAGGAAGATTATACAGCTGTCGCTGACATACTTCTCTGAATACATCATACAGGATGTTAACTATACGTGACTTAGTATTAAATCAATATCTACCAGTTGAAAATAATGGATCCAGTGGAAAAAATATACAATTCTATAAATAACGAAAAAATTCAATAGCGTAAGATTGAGGTTTCTTTCGCTGACATTTGCAAGTTAGTTATATCATCTGTCATTAGAAATGTAAAAGGTCTAGGTCTTATGAGTATAATCGGTATGATATTACGTATGTAACGAATATAATGGACATGCAGAAACGATATGGGGCAAACGTTTCGGTCTATGTAGGTTTATCAAGCCACACAGACGAACATGTTTCTGTACTCGAACCATTTATATTTTGTACTTTTTTGTCAACGCTTTTGTCCAAATTTAACTCAATAAATCTGTAAGTTGTATATAATGGTGTAACTTAGATTTCTATTACACATTACAATAAGAATAATTAGCCATGCAAACCAGGCGGAACTAGTTTAGGCAACTAGTTACTCTGTCAACACAGAGAGGGGGGGATTCTGTTGAGCCAGAATGTGAAACCAATCTTTATGGGTTTGTCACATGATCGCTCGTTTGATACTGGGTTTCCGGTCAAATTCATCATGATACCTGTAGTAGGATACTGAGTTCCGGGTCAACCCCCCTTACCAGCTTCACGTGAATCAAGCCCATTAAACCGACGTATGAATCAGAGCCCGGCTGTTGGTATTGACCGAGGCTTTTATTTGTCAAGTTTTACCTGCCGTTAAAATTATATGATAAGAGAGGTGCATTAAAGGTTTTCCGCTCCGTTTAACGAAGGATCAGAACTCCAGGTATTGGGATCCAGTACTATTTACACTTGGAATTTCTCTGCGTGTCGCTGATGATGAACGTCAGCTGCAGAACTAGCATTAATTGAGGCAAAGTTTCGTTCTATGTAGAGCTTGATCAAGCTCTAAACAGAGAGAAACGTTGTCATCCTCCAAAAAGTCTGTTCTGAAGCTTATGTTTTCGTTGACATTCTTATTGGCAACACGTTATCTCTTTCTCACTACTGATACTGTTGAGGAATCCAACACTATACACTGAGGAATCCAACACTATACACTGAGGAATCCAACACTATACACTGAGGAATCCAACACTATACACTGAGGAATCCAACACTATACACTGAGGAATCCAACACTATACACTGATGAATCCAACACTATACACTGAGGAATCCAACACTATACACTGAGGAATCCAACAATATACACTGAGGAATCCAACACTATACACTGAGGAATCCAACACTATACACTGAGGAATCCAACACTATACACTGAGGAATCCAACACTATACACTGAGGAATCCAACACTATACACTGGGGAATCCAACACTATACACTGAGGAATCCAACACTATACACTGGGGAATCCAACACTATACATTGGGGAATCCAACACTATACACTGGGGAATCCAACACTATACACTGAGGAATCCAACACTATACACTGAGGAATCCAACACTATACACTGAGGAATCCAACACTATATACTGAGGAATCCAGCACTATACACTTAGGAATACAACACTAGACACTGAGGAATCCAACACTATACACTGGGGAATCCAACGCTATACACTGGGGAATCCAACACTATACACTGGGGAATCCAACGCTATACACTGAGGAATCCAACACTATACACTGAGGAATCCCACACTATACACTGAGGAATCCAACACTATACACTGGGGAATCCAACACTATACACTGAGGAATCCAACACTATATACTGAGGAATCCAACACTATACACTACTGTGTGAGAATGCGCAGTATTTCGGAATTGTCCATGGAATTAAGTGTATGGATATCAATACCCAGAGTCTTGGCTACACTTGTCATGTCAAGACCAAAACTCTTCAGCAGCTCGACGAAGTTCATCTCCTCTCCTGAAATAAATAGAAAGTTCCTGAGAGACTTGGTTGGGCCACAAGGAATTATCCGGTTATCGTCTACAAGGTGTTGCTACGATGTGAATTATCATACATGATATATATAGACTAAGAGGTGTATATTTTACAGTGTGTATCTAATGACTCTTTAATCCTGGTAGTTAAAAGTGTATTCGACAGACTTTGAACCCCATTAACCAACCAGTATGTCGAACTGCAATAGAAGGAGGGGCTCTTGATCCAAGGAAACAGACTTACCTTGACCATCATCGACCCTACGAGGTTCAGCCTCATAAGACATTTGTAATTATTATTATAATTAAAACCTAACCCCTAAGACATTTTTAAGAAATCATCTTTCATTTAAAGCGATAAACCTGTCAGGGGTGACAAGTTTTAAGATCTGGAAGCACAAAACATGGAAGGTGTTCCAGGAGTCAGGTTCCCACTTACCTGTGAAAGGGTTGAATAGTTTGGGACAAGCGTAGTTACAATGTGGCCAGGTACAGCGATCTGTGAGGTGTAATGGATGGCTGGGACACATATCCTCTGTCCATTCATCCTCCGGACGAGATGTATCCCTTGGCCACCCTTGTGTTGCGAGGGAGTGTGTGTTGCGGTTGGTGGGTGAGTGTTGCGAAGGAGAGGCTGCGGTTGTGACGGGTTCAGTGTGATGGAGGTCACTTTGTTGGGAGTGCAGGAGGGAGAGGGAACGTCCGCTCCTCACTCCATCAACATATCTTTCCCCAACCTCAGTTAAGCCTGTAAAAAAAGGTTACGTAGGTGAATATTGTATCGTGAGGAGAACTGTACCAGTTACTGCAGTAGGTGGCCATTCTCACGGGTCCTGCCGGGTTCAGTGCCCAGGATCAGTTCCCTTGTTCAACACCGGGTTCAATACCCAGGTTCGGTCCCCTTCAACACAGGGTTCAATCCCTAGTCTCCATACCTTCATAAAATAACACATTTCGAGACAAAAATAAACACCACGTTACTTGATAAAAAATATATATTTATTAATATATATCATGCAGTGCAACAGTGCATACTGTGTCTCCATTATTGCAAATATAATAAAATATTTGCTAAAAATTCACTACAAAGAGTATGGGTAGGAGGAACCGGCCATGGCATAATGAAACCCATACCCAGGTCATGAGGGCCAGAGTAATGATAATTCTGGTTAATAACAATAACTTTATTTACTGCAACTTATACAGACCATAGCTGACGTCAATGACATACTACTATATAGAAAGTCCATTGTTATGCTGAGCATTTCCCGCAAATTAGGTCCTTGTCCCAGGATGCGACCCACACCAGTCCACTAACTTCTAGGTACCCATTTTATTGATGGGTGAACACAGACAACCAGTGTGAAGAAACATGCCCAATGTTTCTACCCTCGCTGGGAATCGAACGCAGACGCTCGCCGTGTGAAGCGAGAGCTTTAGCGATCAGGTCACGGAACCCTCCAGAGTTATCAAGGTAGGTTATGAAGGAATTGATAGCCACAGTTAATTAAGGCCGGTCGTCAGTCAGGGGTGTCCGCAGCTCTATTGCTATCCTACTTAGCTCACACTGAGGTCCGTGGTTTGATCCCCGGTACGGGTGGAAACATTAGGATATGTTTCCTGAAGACACCTGCTGTCCACGTTCACCTAACAGTAAAATAGGTACCTGGGTGTTAGTAGACTGGTGTGGGTCGCATCCTGGGGACAAAACTGACATAATTTGCGGGAAATGCTCAGCATAACAAGGAACTTTCTATACAGTAGTATGTCACTGATGTCAACTATGGTCTGTATAAGTTGTATAATGTACTTGTAGAAATAAAGATTATTATTATTATTATTATTATTATTATTATTATTATTATTATTATTATTATTATTATTATTATTATTACGTAAGAGATGGTGTCCCCTACCTTCCCTCTCCTTCCAGCTGACGCTTCTACTATGTCGTCTTGACGCAGATTTTCTCCTTCCTTGACCTGCCGTGGAAGAAATACATCATTTTATTACAATGACAACAATAAGCGCTAAGCCCGTAGGTCATTCAGCGTAAGGAGCGGTGTAGGCTCCATCCTCCATCCGTCAATGACAGTTTGATCTCTGACCAGTCAGTTTGTTCTGTCTCCATGTGGGTTATTATTGAGCATATATATATATAATATGGACTCCTAGCACTAGCACCCCAGCAGCCTACCTCATGGACTCCTAGCACCTCAGCAGCCTACCTCATGGACTCCTAGCACCCCAGCAGCCTACCTCATGGACTCCTAGCACCCAGCAGCCTACCTCATGGACTCCTAGCACCCCAGCAGCCTACCTCATAGACTCCTAGCACCTCAGCAGCCTACCTCATGGACTCCTAGCACCCCAGCAGCCTACCTCATGGACTCCTAGCACCCCAGCAGCCTACCTCAAGTGACTCCTAGCACTAGCACCCCAGCAGCCTACCTCATGGACTCCTAGCACCTCAGCAGCCTACCTCATGGACTCCTAGCACCCAGCAGCCTACCTCATGGACTCCTAGCACCCCAGCAGCCTACCTCATGGACTCCTAGCACCTCAACAGCCTACCTCATGGACTCCTAGCACCCCAGCAGCCTACCTCATGGACTCCTAGCACCCCAGCAGCCTACCTCAAGGACTCCTAGCACTAGCACCCCAGCAGCCTACCTCATGGACTCCTAGCACCCCAACAGCCTACCTCAAGGACTCCTAGCACTAGCACCCCAGAAGCCTACCTCATGGACTCCTAGCACCCCAGCAGCCTACCTCAAGGACTCCTAGCACTAGCACCCCAGCAGCCTACCTCATGGATTCCTAGCACCCCAGCAGCCTACCTCATGGACTACTAGCACCCCAGCAGCCTACCTCAAGGACTCCTAGCACTAAGCACCCAGCAGCCTACCTCAAGGACTCCTAGCACTAGCACCCAGCAGCCTACCTCATGGACTCCTAGCACTAGCACCCCAGCAGCCTACCTCATGGACTCCTAGCACTAGCACCCCAGCAGCCTACCTCATGGACTCCTAGCACTAGCACCCCAGCAGCCTACCTCATGGACTCCTAGCACTAGCACCCCAGCAGCCTACCTCATGGACTCCTAGCACTAGCACCCCAGCAGCCTACCTCATGGACTCCTAGCACCCCAGCAGCCTACCTCAAGGACTCCTAGCACTAGCACCCCAGCAGCCTACCTCAAGGACTCCTAGCACTAGCACCCCAGCAGCCTACCTCATGGACTCCTAGCACTAGCATCCCAGCAGCCTACCTCATGGACTCCTAGCACTAGCACCCCAACAGCCTACCTCATGGACTCCTAGCACTAGCACCCCAGCAGCCTACCTCATGGACTCCTAGCACTAGCACCCCAGCAGCCTACCTCATGGACTCCTAGCACTAGCACCCCAGCAGCCTACCTCATGGACTCCTAGCACTAGCACCCCAGCAGCCTACCTCATGGACTCCTAGCACCCCAGCAGCCTACCTCATGGACTCCTAGCACTAGCACCCCAGCAGCCTACCTCATGGACTCCTAGCACCTCAGCAGCCTACCTCATGGACTCCTAGCACCCAGCAGCCTACCTCATGGACTCCTAGCACCCCAGCAGCCTACCTCATGGACTCCTAGCACCTCAACAGCCTACCTCATGGACTCCTAGCACCCCAGCAGCCTACCTCATGGACTCCTAGCACCCCAGCAGCCTACCTCAAGGACTCCTAGCACTAGCACCCCAGCAGCCTACCTCATGGACTCCTAGCACCCCAACAGCCTACCTCAAGGACTCCTAGCATTAGCACCCCAGAAGCCTACCTCATGGACTCCTAGCACCCCAGCAGCCTACCTCAAGGACTCCTAGCACTAGCACCCCAGCAGCCTACCTCATGGATTCCTAGCACCCCAGCAGCCTACCTCATGGACTACTAGCACCCCAGCAGCCTACCTCAAGGACTCCTAGCACTAGCACCCCAGCAGCCTACCTCAAGGACTCCTAGCACTAGCACCCCAGCAGCCTACCTCATGGACTCCTAGCACTAGCACCCCAGCAGCCTACCTCATGGACTCCTAGCACTAGCACCCCAGCAGCCTACCTCATGGAATCCTAGCACTAGCACCCCAGCAGCCTACCTCATGGACTCCTAGCACTAGCACCCCAGCAGCCTACCTCATGGACTCCTAGCACTAGCACCCCAGCAGCCTACCTCATGGACTCCTAGCACCCCAGCAGCCTACCTCAAGGACTCCTAGCACTAGCACCCCAGCAGCCTACCTCAAGGACTCCTAGCACTAGCACCCCAGCAGCCTACCTCATGGACTCCTAGCACTAGCACCCCAGCAGCCTACCTCATGGACTCCTAGCACTAGCACCCCAACAGCCTACCTCATGGACTCCTAGCACTAGCACCCCAGCAGCCTACCTCATGGACTCCTAGCACTAGCACCCCAGCAGCCTACCTCATGGACTCCTAGCACTAGCACCCACCAGCAGCCTCACTCATGGACTCCTAGCACTACACCCCAGCAGCCTACCTCATGGACTCCTAGCACTAGCACCCCAGCAGCCTACCTCATGGACTCCTAGCACTAGCACCCCCAGCAGCCTACCTCATGGACTCCTAGCACTAGCACCCCAGCAGCCTACCTCATGGACTCCTAGCACTAGCACCCCAGCAGCCTACCTCATGGACTCCTAGCAATAGCACCCCAGCAGCCTGCCTCATGGACTCCTAGCACTAGCACCCCAGCAGCCTGCCTCATGGACTCCTAGCACTAGCACCCCAGCAGCCTACCTCATGGACTCCTAGCACTAGCACCCCAGCAGCCTACCTCATGGACTCTTAGCACTAGCACCCCAGCAGCCTACCTCATGGACTCCTAGCACTAGCACCCCAGCAGCCTACCTCATGGACTCCTAGCACTAGCACCCCAGCAGCCTACCTCATGGACTCCTACACTAGCACCCCAGCTAGCCTGCCTCATGACTCCTAGCACTAGCACCCCAGCAGCCTACCTCATGGACTCCTAGCACTAGCACCCCAGCAGCCTACCTCATGGACTCCTAGCACTAGCACCCCAGCAGCCTACCTCATGGACTCCTAGCACTAGCAGCCCAGCAGCCTACCTCATGGACTCCTAGCAATAGCACCCCAGCAGCCTGCCTCATGGACTCTTAGCACTAGCACCCCAGCAGCCTACCTCATGGACTCTTAGCACTAGCACCCCAGCAGCCTACCTCATGGACTCCCTAGCACTAGCACCCTAGCAGCCTACCTCATGGACTCCTAGCACTAGCACCCCAGCAGCCTACCTCATGGACTCCTAGCACTAGCACCCCAGCAGCCTGCCTCATGGACTCCTAGCACTAGCACCCCAGCAGCCTACCTCATGGACTCCTAGCACTAGCACCCCAGCAGCCTACCTCATGGACTCCTAGCACTAGCACCCCAGCAGCCTACCTCATGGACTCCTAGCACTAGCACACCCAGCAGCCTACCTCAAGGACTCCTAGCACTAGCACCCCAGCAGCCTACCTCATGGACTCCTAGCACTAGCACCCCAGCAGCCTACCTCATGGACTCCTAGCACTAGCACCCCAGCAGCCTACCTCATGGACTCCTAGCACTAGCACCCCAGCAGCCTACCTCATGGACTCCTAGCACTAGCACCCCAGCAGCCTACCTCATGGACTCCTAGCACTAGCACCCCAGCAGCCTACCTCATGGACTCCTAGCACTAGCACCCCAGCAGCCTACCTCATGGACTCCTAGCACTAGCACCCAGCAGCCTACCTCATGGACTCCTAGCACTAGCACCCAGCAGCCTACCTCATGGACTCCTAGCACTAGCACCCCAGCAGCCTACCTCATGGACTCCTAGCACTAGCCACCCCAGCAGCCTACCTCATGGACTCCTAGCACTAGCACCCCAGCAGCCTACCTCATGGACTCCTAGCACTAGCACCCCAGCAGCCTACCTCATGGACTCCTAGCACTAGCACCCCAGCAGCCTACCTCATGGACTCCTAGCACTAGCACCCCAGCAGCCTACCTCAAGGACTCCTAGCACTAGCACCCCAGCAGCCTACCTCATGGACTCCTAGCACTAGCACCCCAGCACCCTACCTCAAGGACTCCTAGCACTAGCACCCCAGCAGCCTACCTCATGGACTCCTAGCACTAGCACCCCAGCAGCCTACCTCATGGACTCCTAGCACTAGCACCCCAGCAGCCTACCTCAAGGACTCCTAGCACTAGCACCCCAGCAGCCTACCTCATGGACTCCTAGCACTAGCACCCCAGCAGCCTACCTCATGGACTCCTAGCACTAGCACCCCAGCAGCCTACCTCATGGACTCCTAGCAATAGCACCCCAGCAGCCTGCCTCATGGACTCCTAGCACTAGCACCCCAGCAGCCTGCCTCATGGACTCCTAGCACTAGCACCCAGCAGCCTACCTCATGGACTCCTAGCACTAGCACCCCAGCAGCCTACCTCATGGACTCTTAGCACTAGCACCCCAGCAGCCTACCTCATGGACTCCTAGCACTAGCACCCCAGCAGCCTACCTCATGGACTCCTAGCACTAGCACCCCAGCAGCCTACCTCATGGACTCCTAGCACTAGACACCCCAGCAGCCTGCCTCATGGACTCCTAGCACTAGCACCCCAGCAGCCTACCTCATGGACTCCTAGCACTAGCACCCCAGCAGCCTACCTCATGGACTCCTAGCACTAGCACCCCAGCAGCCTACCTCATGGACTCCTAGCACTAGCAGCCCAGCAGCCTACCTCATGGACTCCTAGCAATAGCACCCCAGCAGCCTGCCTCATGGACTCTTAGCACTAGCACCCCAGCAGCCTACCTCATGGACTCTTAGCACTAGCACCCCAGCAGCCTACCTCATGGACTCCTAGCACTAGCACCCTAGCAGCCTACCTCATGGACTCCTAGCACTAGCACCCCAGCAGCCTACCTCATGGACTCCTAGCACTAGCACCCCAGCAGCCTGCCTCATGGACTCCTAGCACTAGCACCCCCAGCAGCCTACCTCATGGACTCCTAGCACTAGCACCCCAGCAGCCTACCTCATGGACTCCTAGCACTAGCACCCCAGCAGCCTACCTCATGGACTCCTAGCACTAGCACCCCAGCAGCCTACCTCAAGGACTCCTAGCACTAGCACCCCCAGCAGCCTACCTCATGGACTCCTAGCACTAGCACCCCAGCAGCCTACCTCATGGACTCCTAGCACTAGCCACCCCAGCAGCCTACCTCATGGACTCCTAGCACTAGCACCCCAGCAGCCTACCTCATGGACTCCTAGCACTAGCACCCCAGCAGCCTACCTCATGGACTCCTAGCACTAGCACCCCAGCAGCCTACCTCATGACTCCTAGCACTAGCACCCCAGCAGCCTACCTCATGGACTCCTAGCACTAGCACCCCAGCAGCCTACCTCATGGACTCCTAGCACTAGCACCCCAGCAGCCTACCTCATGGACTCCTAGCACTAGCACCCCAGCAGCCTACCTCATGGACTCCTAGCACTAGCACCCCAGCAGCCTACCTCATGGACTCCTAGCACTAGCACCCCAGCAGCCTACCTCATGGACTCCTAGCACTAGCACCCCAGCAGCCTACCTCATGGACTCCTAGCACTAGCACCCCAGCAGCCTACCTCATGGACTCCTAGCACTAGCACCCCAGCAGCCTACCTCAAGGACTCCTAGCACTAGCACCCCAGCAGCCTACCTCATGGACTCCTAGCACTAGCACCCCAGCACCCTACCTCAAGGACTCCTAGCACTAGCACCCCAGCAGCCTACCTCATGGACTCCTAGCACTAGCACCCAGCAGCCTACCTCATGGACTCCTAGCACTAGCACCCCAGCAGCCTACCTCAAGGACTCCTAGCACTAGCACCCCAGCAGCCTACCTCATGGACTCCTAGCACTAGCACCCCAGCAGCCTACCTCATGGACTCCTAGCACTAGCACCCCAGCAGCCTACCTCATGGACTCCTAGCACTAGCACCCCAGCAGCCTACCTCATGGACTCCTAGCACTAGCACCCCAGCAGCCTACCTCAAGGACTCCTAGCACTAGCACCCCAGCAGCCTACCTCATGGACTCCTAGCACTAGCACCCCAGCAGCCTACCTCATGGACTCCTAGCACTAGCACCCCAGCAGCCTACCTCAAGGACTCCTAGCACTAGCACCCCAGCAGCCTACCTCATGGACTCCTAGCACTAGCACCCCAGCAGCCTACCTCATGGACTCCTAGCACTAGCACCCCAGCAGCCTACCTCAAGGACTCCTAGCACTAGCACCCCAGCAGCCTACCTCAAGGACTCCTAGCACTAGCACCCCAGCAGCCTACCTCATGGACTCCTAGCACTAGCACCCCAGCAGCCTACCTCAAGGACTCCTAGCACTAGCACCCCAGCAGCCTACCTCATGGACTCCTAGCACTAGCACCCCAGCAGCCTACCTCATGGACTCCTAGCACTAGCACCCCAGCAGCCTACCTCATGGACTCCTAGCACTAGCACCCCAGCAGCCTACCTCAAGGACTCCTAGCACTAGCACCCCAGCAGCCTACCTCATGGACTCCTAGCACTAGCACCCCAGCAGCCTACCTCAAAGGACTCCTAGCACTAGCACCCCAGCAGCCTACCTCATGGACTCCTAGCACTAGCACCCCAGCAGCCTACCTCATGGACTTACTTTGTAAGAGTTAACTCATGAACGTTTAATATGAGATATATGTACCTGGAGAGGGGGGTCAACGCCCCCCGGCCCGGTCTGTGACCGGGTAATATTAAATATTTTTCTTTTTTTGGGTGACCTGACTTTGACATGACCCTAATGGGAATAAGTCACTTTGAGTTTCTTAGGCTATCTTGTGTTCTATATACATAAACTGCTATACAGGTATACACGAATATATAATCTATATATCTGTGTATACCTGAATAAACTTGCTTATAGGAGACGAACTTTTGCTTAGAAGGTCAATACGTATATGTGTTGTTTCAATTATCGTTGTTAATATGTGTAAGACTGTATATACTAATTAACATATGATAACTACAAAGAGAAATTAACGAAGATAATATATTACCTTTTTCTCTCTCTCTCCTCTTCCTTCTTTCCATTTGTTTTCTTTTACGTTCACGTCTCTTACGTTTTCTTTCCCGCTTTCTCTTCTTTCTCTCTCTCTCTCGTTTATTTTTCTTTTTTCTTTTTCTTTTTCTCCGTGTACGTCTTTCGGAGGCTTGACTGTCACTTCTGTCATGTAAGTCTTCTTCCGTATGGACAATATGACCATTTTCCTGAGGTGTGTCGATGAAATTTGAGTGTAGTAAATATGGCGAGTCAGGAGTGTGGTCAACCTGCACACTGTTCTTTGGTGAGTCAGCAAGCATTTCTCTGCTGAGAATATTTGGTCTGTTTGTGTCCTGAGACGGTTCACTGTTAACACTGCTGTTACCACTGTTATTATAACTACTGTTCACTCTCTGTTGAGTACTGTCTAGCACCAGGTGATTCCTCTGTACACTGCTACTACTATTTTTACTATTGCTACTATTATTAGGGTTTCTACTCTGTCCCTGCACTTTTCTTTGAGGTTTTTTACTCTTCTGCCATCCATTTCTCCTTTGGCCCTGGTTATTTCTCCTACGTCCATTGCCTCCATGTCCTTGATTGACTGTTTCCTGGTTCCTATGTGTACGGTGCCGCCGGCGCTGGTGTCTCCCACCAGCACCAACACTAGCACCAACACCAGCACCAACACCAACACCAGCAACTGCTCTACCCTCGCCACCAGTCGTTCCCTCAGCAGCTTTGCCTCTGCGTGGAGGCGGTGTGATGGCAGCAAGAGCATCTGATGGTGTGATGTCCCAGCAGTAGAGCGCCTGAGGCAGAGACACGTCCCGTATTTTAACTCCAGCCCAGTTTCTCTTGGTGAAGACAGTATGGGAAATGCAGGAGGGAGCAAACAATGCCCTGCAAGCAAAGTCTATGATAAAATAAAATATAAAATTAATAAAAAACTGCTCAACGCAGAACCAACAGAAAGTTAAACATAGTTTGAGGGCTTCTCTTATTACTTACATATATCATATTCAGACACAAGTCATGAGTCATAGATTTAGTACATATTAATTATGCTAATTATGCTAATTCAGACAAAAGTAGATTTGCTAAGCTGTGCAACCTGAAAAAAATCTACACTATAAGTTTAATACATATCTACTGGTGGTGTACAGATAATATTAACCATAAAATCCTCGTGTAGTCGATAGGTTTTAAACCTAGTAAACATACCAATGATTCAGACTAATAACGGTACGGGTGGGATTCGAACCCGCGGCAAGTGTCTTAAAACTCACGGACTTATGTTTTAATCATATACGGGGTTATTATACATTATCAAACAACACAGACACCAATATTAATACTGCAGTTTTTTATCCAAATATTCTGATAAATAATTTGTAAATTGTAAACATATATTGATAAATTTACATGAAAAAAAATCGGCTCTTGAAGAGTCTGGGCACCTTCAAGAGTCTGGGCACCTTCAAGAGTCTGGGCACCTTCAAGAGTCTGGGCACCTTCAAGAGTCTGGGCACCTTCAAGAGTCTGGGCACCTTCAAGAGTCTGGGTCCCTTCAAGAGTCTGGGCACCTTCAAGAGTCTGGGCACCTTCAAGAGTCTGGGCACCTTCAAGAGTCTGGGCACCTTCAAGAGTCTGGGCACCTTCAAGAGTCTGGGCACCTTCAAGAGTCTGGGCACCTTCAAGAGTCTGGGCACCTTCAAGAGTCTGGGCACCTTCAAGAGTCTGGGTCCCTTCAAGAGTCTGGGCACCTTCAAGAGTCTGGGGCACCTTCAAGAGTCTGAGCACCTTCAAGAGTCTGGGTCCCTTCAAGAGTCTGGGCACCTTCAAGAGTCTGGGTCCCTTCAAGAGTCTGGGTCACTTCAAGAGTCTGGGTCCGTTCAAGAGTCTGGGTCCCTTCAAGAGTCTGGGTCACTTCAAGAGTCTGGGTCCCTTCAAGAGTCTGGGTCTCTTCAAGAGTCTGGGTCCCTTTAAGAGTCTGGGTCCCTTCAAGAGTCTGGGTCCCTTCAAGAGTCTGGGCACCTTCAAAAGTCTGGGCACCTTCAAGAGTCTGGGCACCTTCAAGAGTCTCATCAGAGTGGCCCTTCAAGAGTCTGGGCACCTTCAAGAGTCTGGGGCACCTTCAAGAGTCTGAGCACCTTCAAGAGTCTGGGTCCCTTCAAGAGTCTGGGCACCTTCAAGAGTCTGGGTCCCTTCAAGAGTCTAGGTCCCTTCAAGAGTCTGGGCACCTTCAAGAGTCTGGGGCACCTTCAAGAGTCTGGGCACCTTCAAGAGTCTGGGTCCCTTCAAGAGTCTGGGCACCTTCAAGAGTCTGGGCACCTTCAAGAGTCTGGGCACCTTCAAGAGTCTGGGGCACCTTCAAGAGTCTGGGCACCTTCAAGAGTCTGGGTCACCTTCAAGAGTCTGGGTCCCTTCAAGAGTCTGGGTCCCTTCAAGAGTCTGGGTCCCTTCAAGAGTCTGGGTCACTTCAAGAGTCTGGGTCCCTTCAAGAGTCTGGGTCCCTTCAAGAGTCTGGGTCCCTTTAAGAGTCTGGGTCCCTTCAAGAGTCTGGGTCCCTTCAAGAGTCTGGGCACCTTCAAAAGTCTGGGCACCTTCAAGAGTCCGGGCACCTTCAAGAGTCTAGGTCCCTTCAAGAGTCTGGGCACCTTCAAGAGTCTGGGGCACCTTCAAGAGTCTGAGCACCTTCAAGAGTCTGGGTCCCTTCAAGAGTCTGGGCACCTTCAAGAGTCTGGGTCCCTTCAAGAGTCTAGGTCCCTTCAAGAGTCTGGGCACCTTCAAGAGTCTGGGGCACCTTCAAGAGTCTGGGCACCTTCAAGAGTCTGGGTCCCTTCAAGAGTCTGGGCACCTTCAAGAGTCTGGGGCACCTTCAAGAGTCTGGGCACCTTCAAGAGTCTGGGTCCCTTCAAGAGTCTGGGCACCTTCAAGAGTCTGGGTCCCTTCAAGAGTCTGGGTCCCTTCAAGAGTCTGGGTCACCTTCAAGAGTCTGGGCACCTTCAAGAGTCTGGGCACCTTCAAGAGTCTGGGTCCCTAGATTGGCCCTCAAGAGTCTGGGTCCCTTCAAGAGTCTGGGTCCCTTCAAGAGTCTGGTTCCCTTCAAGAGTCTGGGTCCCTTCAAGAGTCTGGGCACCTTCAAGAGTCTAGGTCCCTTCAAGAGTCTGGGCACCTTCAAGAGTCTGGGTCCCTTCAAGAGTCTGGGCACCTTCAAGAGTCTGGGTCCCTTCAAGAGTCTGGGTCCCTTCAAGAGTCTGGGTCCCTTCAAGAGTCTGGGCACCTTCAAGAGTCTGGGTCCCTTCAAGAGTCTGGGCACCTTCAAGAGTCTGGGTCCCTTCAAGAGTCTGGGTCCCTTCAAGAGTCTGGGCCTTCAAGCTGGGCCTTCAAGAGTCTGGGTCCCTTCAAGAGTCTGGGTCCCTTCAAGAGTCTGGGTCACTTCAAGAGTCTGGGCACATTCAAGAGTCTGAGCACCTTTAAGAGTCTGGGCACCTTCAAGAGTCTAGGTCCCTTCAAGAGTCTGGGCCCTTCAAGAGTCTGGGCACCTTCAAGAGTTGCTAGGCGGCACCTTCAAGAGTCTGGGCACCTTCAAGAGTCTGGGTCCCTTCAAGAGTCTGGGCACCTTCAAGAGTCTGGGCACCTTCAAGAGTCTGGGTCCCTTCAAGAGTCTGGGTCCCTTCAAGAGTCTGGGCACCTTCAAGAGTCTGGGCTTACTGGCCCTTCAAGAGTCTGGGCACCTTCAAGAGTCTGGGTCCCTTCAAGAGTCTGGGTCCCTTCAAGAGTCTGGGTCACCTTCAAGAGTCTGGGCACCTTCAAGAGTCTGGGCACCTTCAAGAGTCTGGGCACCTTCAAGAGTCTGGGTCCCTTCAAGAGTCTGGGCACCTTCAAGAGTCTGGGCTCCTTCAAGAGTCTGGGCACCTTCAAGAGTCTGGGGCACCTTCAAGAGTCTGGGTCCCTTCAAGAGTCTGGGTATCTTCAAGAGTCTGAGCACCTTCAAGAGTCTGGGTCCCTTCAAGAGTCTGGGCCCTTAGATCGCCTTCAAGAGTCTGGGCCTTTCAAGAGTCTGGGCACCTTCAAGAGTCTGGGCACCTTCAAGAGGTACTGGGTCCCTTCAAGAGTCTGGGAATCTTCAAGAGTTTGAGCACCTTCAAGAGTCTGGGTCCCTTCAAGAGTCTGGGCACCTTCAAGAATCTGGGCACTTTCAAGAGTCTGGGTCCCTTCAAGAGTCTGGGTCCCTTCAAGAGTCTGGGTCCCTTCAAGAGTCTGGGTCCCTTCAAGAGTCTGGGTCCCTTCAAGAGTCTGGGTCCCTTCAAGAGTCTGGGCACCTTCAAGAGTCTGAGGCACCTTCAAGAGTCTGGGTCCCTTCAAGAGTCTGGGCACCTTCAAGAGTCTGGGCACCTTCAAGAGTCTGGGAACCTTCAAGAGTCTGGGTCCCTTCAAGAGTCTGGGCACCTTCAAGAGTCTGGGCACCTTCAAGAGTCTGGGCACCTTCAAGAGTCTGGGCACCTTCAAGAGTCTGAGCACCTTCAAGAGTCTGGGCACCTTCAAGAGTCTGGGCACCTTCAAGAGTCTGGGCACCTTCAAGAGTCTGGGCACCTTCAAGAGTCTGGGCACCTTCAAGTCTGGGCACCTTCAAGAGCCTGGGCACCTTCAAGAGTCTGGCACCTTCAAGAGTCTGGGCACCTTCAAGAGTCTGGGCACCTTCAAGAGTCTGGGTCCCTTCAAGAGTCTGGGCACCTTCAAGAGTCTGGGCACCTTCAAGAGTCTGGGTTCCCTTCAAGAGTCCTGGGGCACCTTCAAGAGTCTGGCCTTCAGAGTCTGGGCACCTTCAAGAGTCTGGGCACCTTCAAGAGTCTGGGCACCTTCAAGGAGTTGTGGGCACCTTCAAGATGTCTGGGCACCTTCAAGAGTCTGGGCACCTTCAAGAGTCTGGGCACCTTCAAGAGTCTGGGCACCTTCAAGAGTTCTGGGCACCTTCAAGAGTCTGGGCACCTTCAAGTGTTCTGGGCCCTTCAAAGTCTGGCACTTCAAGAGTCTGGGCACCTTCAAGAGTTTGGGCACCTTCAAGAGTCTGGGCACCTTCAAGAGTTGGGCACCTTCAAGAGTCTGGGCACTTTCAAGAGTCTGGGCACCTTCAAGAGTCTGGGCACCTTCAAGAGTCTGGGCACCTTCAAGAGTCTGGGTCCCTTCAAGAGTCTGGCACCTTAAGAGTCTGGGCACCTTCAAGAGTCTGGGCACCTTCAAGAGTCTGGGCACCTTCAAGAGCTGTGCCCAGTTAAGAGTCTGGGCTCTGAAAATTTCACTTCACTCGGATCATACAAAGTTTCTTCTGGTTCCCTTCGTGGACTTCAACGTGTTTAGGCATCCTCATAAACATACACTTCAACTGGGATAAAAAGCTTATTGCTTCAAGATTGGCCCCAAAGTTTTCATTTCAAGAGTTTGGCACTTCACAAAGCTGGCACTGTCAAAGTCTGATTAAGCTTAGGTTCACCTTGAGTTGCACAACGTACAGTGACTTTACCTCAAGGTTCACTCGTACAGTGACTACTCAAAGGTTCACAACGTAGTGACTTACTCAAGGTTTCCACGTTACAGTGACTTACTCAAGGTTCACAAGTACAGTGACTACTCAAGGTCACAACGTTCAGTGACTTTCTCAAGCGTTCACAACGTTACAGTGACTTACTCAAGGTTCACAACGTACAGTGACTTACTCAAGGTTCACAACGTACAGTGACTTACTCAAGGTTCACAACGTACAGTGACTTACTCAAGGTTCACAACGTACAGTGACTTACTCAAGGTTCCACGACAGGATACTCAAGTTCAAACGCAAGTGCTTCTAGGTTCAAACGTACAGTGACTTACTCAAGGTTCACAACGTACAGTGACTTACTCAAGGTTCACAACGTACAGTGACTTACTCAAGGTTCACAACGTACAGTGACTTACTCAAGGTTCACAACGTACAGTGACTTACTCAAGGTTCACAACACACCACAACGTACAGTGACTTACTCAAGGTTCACAACGTACAGTGACTTACTCAAGGTTCACAACGTACAGTGACTTACTCAAGGTTCACAACGAACCACAACAACGTACAGTGACTTACTCAAGGTTCACAACGTACAGTGACTTATCAGTCAACGCACAACGTACAGTGACTTACTCAAGGTTCACAACGTACAGACTACCAAGTTCAAACGTACAGTGACTTACTCAAGGTTCACAACGCACCACAACGTACAGTGACTTACTCAAGGTTCACAGCGTACAGTGACTTACTCAAGGTTCACAACGCACCACAACGTACAGTGACTTACTCAAGGTTCACAACGCACCACAACGTACAGTGACTTACTCAAGGTTCACAACACACCACAACGTACAGTGACTTACTCAAGGTTCACAACACACCACAACGTACAGTGACTTACTCAAGGTTCACAACACACCACAACGTACAGTGACTTACTCAAGGTTCACAACATACCACAATGTACAGTGACTTACTCAAGGTTCACAACACACCACAACGTACAGTGACTTACTCAAGGTTCACAACACACCACAACGTACAGTGACTTACTCAAGGTTCACAACACACCACAACGTACAGTGACTTACTCAAGGTTCACAACGCATCACAACGTACAGTGACTTACGTAACATTCTCAAAGGTCTTCCTAATTCGTTCACCAATACCGTGGATGTAGTCCCACTGTTCCTTGGAGTTTGGTTTGCCAACGTTGTTAGCTGTCATCTGAGCCTCGTCAAAGATCCACTGGAACACGAACACGGGAGCTGTGGAGTGTCACAATTTATTATTATTATTATTATTATTATTATTATTATTATTATTATTATTATTATTATTATTATTGGTAAGTAATCAAGTTTGTTTTGATTTCCGAAAAGCACTGTAGGAACCAGACGCAATCAGTTGGAAAAACACTCACACACTCCTGGCGGGGGCCAAGAGCTGTGAATCGACCCCTGCATCCACAAATACGTAAGTACGAATAGGTGAATACATACACACACTTGCATACGAAACTTATCCTTTTCCAGGAGTGATGTTTGTGCTACATATATGGGATCTAAGGCTACTCATTCGTAAGTTATTTCAGCGAACACAAGTCAGTCTTACACTGCATCGTCGGGTACACCCGATATCCGAAGTAGCAGTACCAGGGGTGAAGCGGGTACTCCTCTCTGCAGCGATCGGGTATCCTGCCCTGCCATAGCTCCTGGCCCCGCCTGATGGCCTCCAGCGGTGGGCAGCTGTGAGCGTCGACACACTTGCGGGGAGCGAAAGGTTCGTTGTCTAAAAACCAGCCAGAGTCCGACACGGCTCGGACCTCAGCCTGTATGCCCAGCTGGGAGAGCTGTCGTGCCACACGGTCCACGTTCACCAGAACTCCGACTCCACCTGCACTGTTGACAAACTGATTACTAACACACTTGTATTATAGCAAAACAACAAAAAGCCACAATACCGTGACTGGAACAATACACAAACAACTCGTACACAGGAGACAGAAACTCATGACGACATTTCGGTCCGACTTGGATCATTGAAGTCACCAGTGTCACTAGCCAATGGTCGAAGTTGGAGATAAACGTCGTCTTTAGCTGCTTTCTTCTTTCTAAGATACGATTTTGCATCCATTAGATGAATAAACGAACCGATGTCTCGTTAAATCGTAACGACACGAATATAAACAGTCAGTGAATACTGGGTTGGATGTCATAGCAAGCAGTCCTAAACTTAGCAAGTGTATAGAAATACAGCACAGGATATATACACCGAAATATATATTCCTCAACGTATATAGGCTGAGAATTTACTTTATTGTTCTTATTTTAGGGATTACCGTATTTTTAAGTGGCAGTGTCAAGGTTACGAACAACCTTAATGAACCTCGTGTGGTCGACAGGCTGTACAAATCTTATCAAGACTGATGGACTGATGACATCGACTCCAGGCTGGGAGACAGACTCCCTCAAATTCCTTCTGATCTTCACCACTCTTATTTGCTTAGGACTGATGAAGCCACTACGTGGCGTTTCGTCAGTAAAGATACCAAAGTGTTTCAAGAGTGTCTAAAACCTAACTGCTAAAACCTAACTACTAACTACTAAGGATCCCAGCGGAAACAGGTCACTTTGTCGGATTTTCTTGGGTTATCCTAAGTAATTTACACACATGCTGCTATATATGATAATTTAAGTAACTCTATACACTTACTAACATATGTAAAATTTGGGTAACCTCACTGAGAGATACTTGCAAACCATAGTACGGGTGGGAATAGAACCAGCGGTCAGAGAGCCAGAAAACTCCAGACCGATGGGTTAGCCACTGAGCCAGCTGGCCCAGTGGCTAACGTGTCGGTCTGGAGTTTTATGACTCTCTAACCGCGGGTTCTATCCCTCCTCGTGGTATGGTTTGTTTGCAGTCCTGTCATTACGATTTCGTGAGTCGTGAGAGATACTTCGCCTGTATCCCAACACCTGTTGTATAGGCGATACATCTCTCATTGACGGTACACAGGTGTTGCGCGGGTTTTATTCATCAGGTTATGAGAATTAAACCAGTGATGTAATGAAACAATAATAATGTACACGGGAACACACTAAACCCGCATGGGTCATCCACTCGAAAAATGTAAAACTATTTCTTATATATTTTTCGATGTATTTTCTGTTAAATTGTCTTGGAAAATGTGAGGTATTCCCTCACCTGCTGCCTCATATTCCCTCACCTGCTGCCTCATATTCCCTCACCTGCTGCCTCATATTCCCTCACCTGCTGCTTCATATTCCCTCACCTGCTGCCTCATATTCCCTCACCTGCTGCCTCATATTCCCTCACCTGCTGCCTCATATTCCCTCACCTGCTGCTTCATATTCCCTCACCTGCTGCCTCATATACCCTCACCTGCTGCTTCATATTCCCTCACCTGCTGCCTCATATTCCCTCACCTGCTGCTTCATATTCCCTCACCTGCTGCCTCATATTCCCTCACCTGCTGCCTCATATACCCTCACCTGCTGCCTCATATACCCTCACCTGCTGATTCATATTCCCTCACCTGCTGCCTCATATTCCCTCACCTGCTGCCTCATATTCCCTCACCTGCTGCTTCATATTCCCTCACCTGCTGCCTCATATTCCCTCACCTGCTGCCTCATATACCCTCACCTGCTGCTTCATATTCCTCACCTGCTGCCTCATATTCCCTCACCTGCTGCCTCATATACCCTCACCTGCTGCCTTCATATTCCCTCACCTGCTGCCTCATATTCCCTCACCTGCTGCCTCATATTCCCTCACCTGCTGCTTCATATTCCCTCACCTGCTGCCTCATATTCCCTCACCTGCTGCTTCATATTCCCTCACCTGCTGCCTCATATTCCCTCACCTGCTGCTTCATATTCCCTCACCTGCTGCCTCATATTCCCTCACCTGCTGCTTCATATTCCCTCACCTGCTGCTTCATATACCCTCACCTGCTGCCTCATATTCCCTCACCTGCTGCCTCATATTCCCTCACCTGCTGCCCCATAATTCCTCACCTGCTGCCTCATAATCCTTCACCTGCTGCCCCATAATTCCTCACTTGCTGCCTCATAATTCCTCACCTGCTGCCTAATAATCCCTTACCTGCTGCCTCATAATCTCTCACCTGCTGCCTCATAATCCCTCACCTGCTGCCTCATATTCCCTCACCTGCTGCTTCATATTCCCTCACCTGCTGCCTCATATTCCCTCACCTGCTGCCCCATAATTCCTCACCTGCTGCCTCATAATCCTTCACCTGCTGCCCCATAATTCCTCACTTGCTGCCTCATAATTCCTCACCTGCTGCCTAATAATCCCTTACCTGCTGCCTCATAATCTCTCACCTGCTGCCTCATAATCCCTCACCTGCTGCCTCATAATCCCTCACTTGCTGCCTCATAATCCCTCACCTGCTGCCTCATAATCCCTCACCTGCTGCCTCATATTCCCTCACCTGCTGCCTCATAATTCCTCACCTTCTGCCTCATAATTGCTCACCTTGTGCCTCATAATCCCTCACCTGCTGCCTCATAATCCCTCACCTGCTGCCTCATAATTGCTCACCTGCTGCCTCATAATTGCTCACCTGCTGTCTCATAATTGCTCACCTGCTGCCCCATAATTCCTCACCTGCTGCCTCATAATCCCTCACCTGCTGCCTCATAATCCCTCACCTGCTGCCTCATATTCCCTCACCTGCTGCCTCATATTCCCTCACCTGCTGCCTCATAATCCCTCACCTGCTGCCTCATAATCCCTCACCTGCTGCCTCATAATTGCTCACCTGCTGCCTCATAATCCCTCACCTGCTGCCCAATAATTCCTCACCTGCTGCCCCATAATTCCTCACCTGCTGCTTCATAATCCCTCACCTGCTGCCTCATAATCCCTCACCTGCTGCCCCATAGTCCCTCACCTGCTGCCCCATAATTCTTAACCTGCTGCCTCATAATCCCTCACCTGCTGCCCCACAATTCCTCGCCTGCGACCTTATAATTCCTCACCTGCTGCCTCATAATCCCTCACCTGCTGCCTTATAATTGCTCACCTGCTGCCTCATAATTGCTCACCTGCTGCCTGCCAGGATAAGTTTGTGACCATGGGTAAGGTTGAGGTGCACCAGGGCCTCCACCACCTCCTCCACGATGACGCTGCCCATGAAGGAGAACTCACCAGATCCGTCCGCTGCCCGACGCGTCCCCGACCACGAGTCGGACGAGCAGTAGGGCACGAACCTGCGGTACGACGGCCATCTACATCATTAATGTCCGGTAAGACGCGAATCTAAGTCAATGTGGAGGAAATTTTTTAAGGATACGTGTGTATTTACTCACCTATTTGTGATTGCAGGGGTTGATTCATAGCTCCTGGCCCCGTCTTTTCACTGGTAGTTACTAAGTCCTGTCTCTCCCTGTTTCATGAACTTTATCAAACTTGTGTGTGTGTGTGTTGTGTGTGTTGTTGTGTGTTGTGGTGTGTACTACCTGTGTTGGTGTGTTGGGTGGGTCGGTTCCGGCTCTGGCCCCGCTCTGTCACTGATCGCTACAAAGGTCACTCTCATGAGCCGTGGACTTTATCATACCTCTGCTTAAAAAGCTAAGTATGGATCCCTGCTTCCACTACATCGGCTTCCCAAACTATTCCCCTACTGGGAACTACTCTGTGCTGAAGTAAATACTGTCCTAACATCCCTGGATTTCACTACTGTGGTCGCAACTTCCACCACTGTGTCCCATTGTTACTGTGTCCAATCTCTGAACATCCTGTACTTTGTCCACCATGTCAATTCCTCTCAGTATTTTGTATGTCGTTATCATGTCCCCCCTTTTCTCCTGTCCTCCAGTGTCGTCAGGTTGATTCCCTTAACCTCTCATCGTAGGACATAACCTCTTAGCTCTGGACTAGTCTTGTTGCAAACCTTTGCACTTCGGTGGGTGTGTGTGTGTGTGTGTGTGTGTGTGTGTGTGTGTGTGTGTGTGTGTGTGTGTGTGTGTAGGTGTGTGTAGGTGTGTGCAAGCAAAACAAGTTATAAAAGTAAAGGTGGGATTTGAACTCACGGATAAAACAGGAGTGCAAGCTAGAGCATACTAACACATGATTGGCTGTCCACCAGTGCGGGTTCTCCTCCGGGTGCGGGGACAGTAGCCCCCCAACATGACGGGTAGCAGCCCACCCGCTCGAGGTCATCAGTGATCGTAGACGCACCCAGCGATGTTGACAACTACTGTGGTCGAAGCAGTACCAGCCTCCTGTGTACACACAAGCCACTTAACATATATATTATACAGTTTTCCTTTATATATATATATTATATATATATATATATATATATATATATATATTATATTAATATATATATATATATATATATATATATATATAACAAGCCTACGAAGACATAGTGTACTGCCAAGCGCTTTCGTGATTTCTCACATTATCAAGGAAAAAAAATAACAAAGGCGCGAACATTTAGCCCCCCCATAAAAGAAATTCCGGTGCGGGTAGTGCAAGTGTTTTACAAAGGCCATTTGTTGCAGGCTTTGATTTAGCCTCGCCGCCGTATGTTAGTCGTCCATTATGTAAGCCCATCCTGACGCCTGAACATTACGATGTGTAATTGTGTGTGGGTTGTGTGTTGAGGTTAGATGCTGACCGACAGTGTGCAGTCTTAATTTGTGTGTCGGCTGTGGTCATGTGGGGTGGTTGCTTACAGTGTGTGGCTGGTGGGTAGTGCGGTAGATGGGCAGGGTTTAAGTCTCGGTGTGGGAGTTGGATAGGTCACGGGAGTGGGCGTGGGTAGTCTACGTTGGGCGATGGCTATCGCACCGGTGGGGCGTGGGTCTCCTCGGTGCGGGGCGTGGGTATCTCAAGTGTGGGCGTAGGTCAGCCACCGCTGTGTGGGTCGTGATGTTCGTTCAGCGAGTTGGAGTCTCTGTGGTGAAGGGCCGTGGTGTCACCAAGCATAGCATGGGTATTCTCAGTTGTTCCTTTCGTGGGTAGTATAGTATATATATATATGAGTAGGGTTAGTATGTATTGTAGATCGTGGGTATTATCAGTGTGATGGTCGTGGGTAGTATATTATATGAGGCGTGGATAGATATAGTTTATTTAGGCGTGGGTAGATCTGTTATAAAATGGGTATCTCGGTTGTGTTGAGCAGTATGTTATCTATATGTATGGATTATGTATTATTATAGCATAGGAAGTCATCGGTGTGTGCCAAGCGTTTCGGTGATTGTAGGCACATGGGTATCTCGGAGTAGGGAGGAAAGGCGCATTTGCCCCCCAAAGGAATCTCGGGCTGGGGGGTGCAGTGAGTAAAGTCTGTGTGGGGCTGGGTTAGTCTCGGTGTAGGCGTGGTAGTCTCGGTTTGATAGCTTGCTGCCAGTTTGGGTGGGTAAGTTCTGCGGCTTCACTGTAAGGGTAAGAGTAGTCCCAGATGTGAAGCGTGGTATCTGTGTGTAGGCGGCGTAGGCTCGGCTGCTGTGGGCTGGGTTCTGTGTGTGGGCGTGGGTAGTCTCGGTGTGTGGGCGTGGGTAGTCTCGGTGTGTGGGCGTGGGTAGTCTCGGTGTGTGGGCGTGGGTAGTCTCGGTGTGTGGGTGTGTGGTGTGGGGTTAGTCTCGGTGTGGAAGGCGTGGGTAGTCTCGGTGTGTGGGCGTGGGTAGTCTCGGTGTGTGGGCGTGGGTGTCTCGTGTGAGGGTGGGTCTGACACGTGTGGCGTGAGTTTGCAGGTGGGCTGACTACTCTTTTCCAGTATTGTTCTTCACATTTTTCCTGCCCCAGTCTGGACCTAGTGTGGTTTGAATGAGCTAGTTTAATTCACACTTTTTACTCTCTCTCTAAATCAGTGGGTCAGGTCCAGCTGTTTCCCACCTTTGTGGGTAAATGTATTCACTATCTGATGGCGGCTGAAATTAATACATTAGTTATGGCAGTGATATTAATGTTACAGGATATTTCTTCAGCCTTCCTGCGGCCGGGCCTCAAGACTAGCCTCGTGGTTGAAATTAGTTGCTAGGTTAGGTTAGGTTAGGTTAGGTTAGGCTAGGTTAGGTTAGGTTAGGTTAGGTTAGGCTAGGTTAGGCTAGGTTAGGCTAGGTTAGGTTAGGTTAGGTTAGGTTAGGTTAGGCTAGGTTAGGTTAGGTTAGGCTAGGTTAGGTTAGGTTAGGCTAGGTTAGGTTAGGTTAGGTTAGGTTAGGTTAGGTTAGGCTAGGTTAGGTTAGGTTAGGCTAGGTTAGGTTAGGTTAGGTTAGGTTAGGTTAGGTTAGGTTAGGCTAGGTTAGGTTAGGTTAGGCTAGGTTAGGTTAGGTTAGGCTAGGTTAGGTTAGGTTAGGTTAGGTTAGGTTAGGCTAGGTTAGGCTAGGTTAGGTTAGGTTAGGTAGGTTAGGTAGGTTAGGTTAGGTTAGGTTAGGTTAGGTTAGGTTAGGTTAGGTTAGGTTAGGTCAGGTTAGGTCAGGTTAGGTTTAGGTTAGGTTATGGTTTAGGTTAGGCTAGGTTAGGTATTAGGTAGGTTAGGTTAGGTTAGGTTGGGCCCTAGGTTAGGTTAGGTTAGGTTAGGTTAGGTTAGGCTAGGTTAGGTTAGGTTAGGTTAGGTTAGGCTTGGGTTAGGTTAGGTTAGGTTAGGTTAGGTTAGGTTAGGCTAGGTTAGGTTAGGTTAGGTTAGGTTAGCTAGGTTAGGCTGGGTTTAGTTAGGTTAGGTTAGGTTAGGTTAGGTTAGCTAGGTTAGGTTAGGTTAGGTTAGTAGGTTAGGTTAGGTTAGGTTAGGTTAGGCTAGGTTAAGTTAGGTTAGGTTAGGTTAGGTAAGGCTAGGCTAGGTTAGGTTAAGTTAGGTTAGGTTAGGTTAGGTTATGTTAGGTTAGGTTAGGCTAGGTTAGGCTAGGCTAGGTTAGGCTAAGTTAGGTTAGGTTAGGTTAGGCTTAGTTGTAGGTTAGGTTAGGTAGGTTAGGTTAGCTAGGTTAGGTTAGGTTAGGTTAGGTTAGGTTAGGTTAGGTTAGATAGGTTAGGTTAGGTTAGGTTAGGTTAGGCTAGGTTAGGTTAGGTTAGGTTAGGTTAGGTTAGGTTAGACTAGGTTAGGTTAGGGTAGGTTAGGTTAGGCTAGGTTAGGTTAGGTTAGGTTAGGTTAGGTTAGGTTAGGTTAGACTAGGTTAGGTTAGGGTAGGTTAGGTTAGGCTAGGTTAGGTTAGGTTAGGTTAGGTTAGGCTAGGTTAGGTTAGACTAGGTTAGGTTAGGGTAGGTTTAGGTTAGGCTGGTTAGGTTAGGTTAGGTTGGTTAGGTTAGGTTAGGCTAGGTTAGGTTAGGTTAGGTTAGGTTAGTTTAGGTTAGGTTAGGTTAGGTTAGGTTAGGTTAGGTTAGTTTAGGTTAGGTTAGGTTAGGTTAGGCTAGGTTAGGTTAGGTTAGGTTAGGTTAGTTTAGGTTAGGTTAGGTTAGGTTAGGCTAGGTTAGGTTAGGTTAGGTTAGGTTAGTTTAGGTTAGGTTGGGTTAGTTAGGTTAGGCTAGGTTAGTTAGGTTAGGTTAGGTTAGGTTAGGTTAGGTTAGGCTAGGTTAGGTTAGGTTAGTTTAGGTTAGGCTCGGTTAGGTTAGGTTAGTTTAGGTTAGGTACGGTTAGATAAAATTCGTCAGGATACTGGACAAGTACTTCCTGACGCTGGTCTTAGATGATGACCCTCAGCTGGAGCTTCTGGTCATCTGACTGAGGCCTTCCACTGGCTTACCACTCCAGTCGTAATTACAACCATTTTCATAATTTTTTAATTAGTTGCTTTATATTAACTGGGGTTCAAAGCCTATCGACTACATCATGATCATCAACGCTCCACGCATCACCAGACAACAAGATTTTAATCTCTGAAATAGCGATTACCTGAATCTGCAGGATGTTTCTGGGGCCATCGTCCCCACGGCCCGGTCCCAGACCAGACCTTCAGGTGGATTAGGGCCTGATTAAAGCAGACTGTTACCGTTGGCCGCATGCAGTGCAACGTAGGAACCACAACCTGGATGGTCAGGAACTAGTCCGGTTCCCTACTGTGCTGAGAGACACGAACCTCTCCGTGTATATCGTCTCGTAGATGGTCGATTTATCAGTCAATTTTGTAATGAATATCCTAGTGCTTGTTCGCGTGTCTTTCAGACGCCTTAAAAATGTTAGTATACAACAAGTACAGGTACTCTGAGAGTACTATCATGGCTTCCTATCGTGTTTTGAAAGCTTTGTTACTGAGCCTAGCATTGTCCTTGATAAGTACGACATATGTACAACAGTTAGGTATCTTCATTTCCAAACGTTTCGCCTACACAGTAGGTTTCTTTAGTCCAGTACAGAGGAGTTAGCAGAAGTAGTAGAGATCTGAAGATGATGCAATCAGTCCATCACTCTTGAAGGCGTAGTTTTGAGGGTGGTCAGTCCCTCAGCCTCCAGGCTCAGGAACTGACCACCTCAAATATTGTCTTGTAGGTTTATATAACCCAGTGAAAAACAAAGAAAATACTTACTTTTCTAAATGTAGAAGGAACGCTGCAGTAGGCCTATTGGCCCATGCTAACTATGTCTGTCTCACATCCAACCACACACACCCGTCCATCCTATATTTAAAGACAGTCCTAGTGTTTCCCTGTACGATACCTGGGTGTTTGCTCCATCCATCTACAAGATTATAGGAATGAAGGTGTGTTTGACCTACTGTTCCATGCTAGACAGGTCTTTCTCGATCGCTAGCGCACTCGGCTCACGCTGAGGTCCAGAGATCGAAGCTCTGGTGCGGCTGGAAAACATTAAGGACGTGTTTCCATAATAACACCTGCCGTCCATGTTCACCCATTAGTATAAAATGGGTGTTAGTGGACTGGTGTGGAGTCGCATCCTGGGACAAAACTGACCTAATTTGCGGGAAATGCTCAGTATAACAAGCGGCTTTGTATATAGTAGTATGTCATTGATTTCAGCTATGGTCTGTATACCACCTGGAGGATATTCCGGGGATCAACGCCCCCGTGGCCCGGTCCACGACCACGCCTCCCAGTGGATCAGGGCCTGATCAACCAGGCTGCTACTGCTGGCCGCACGTAGTCCAACGTACAAACCACAGCCCGGCTAATCTCGACTCGAAGTATCTGTCCAGCTCCATCTTGAAGGCAGCCAGGGGCCTATTAGGCATGTACATGTACTTGTAAAATAATGATATTATTATTATTAATATTATTAAGTGACGTATATTGAGGAAAGGTTTCGCCAGACAGTGGTTGCTTC